AGACGGCACTTTTCAATTCTTGGTATCGTGGCTTACATATGATTTCTGACAGTCTGATAATTTCCTAATAGTCCTGAAGGACAACACAGTCCTCAAATGCAATTCATACAAGAAAACAGAATTTCTTTTCAAATCCTTTTCTTCCTTCCTTCCTTCCTCCCTCCGTCCCTTCCTTCCTTCCTCCCTTCCTTCCTTCCTTTCTTCTTTTAGAGAGGTTTTTTGCCATAGGGTATGTGTGCTCCAAGAAAGAGAGAGAGACAGAAAGTGAGAAATCACCCCCCCGGGTAAATGGCCACGTTGCAATCTCTTCTCCTCTCAGGATTCTGGGCATGCACGCACATGCACCTGGCTTGAGTTTAAGCCACTGGGTCCGGGACTCAAAACAGCCGACTACATGGGAGTCCTGCAACGTAACCAATATGCCATCTGCTGGTCCCAGAGTTTCCTTTCAAATCTACATATATGCCCATTGATTTGCTCATGTAATGGTAACAATGCCCTAATGAAACACTGCAGTGATGTCAAGGTGACCCATAGGAGGCGCTGATGTACAGTGCCACCCATCCCCTGGAGCCTGGTGAGCTTCACAATTCAGACAAAATCTTTTGGGGTTTAGTGTAATACGAACATGCACGAACTTTACTTACCCTCCTCCTCCAAGAAATCTGAGGCAGCATCGTAATTCAAAAACATTACCACTTTTTTTTTTTCTGGAGAGGTTTTTTTCGCTATAGGGTCGCCAGACAGACAGAGAGAGACAAGAGACAGAAAATGAGAAATCACCCTCCCAGGGGGGATGGTCACGCCACAATCCCTTCTCCTCCATTCTCCTCTCAGGATCTTGGGCACGCACGCACACGCGCCCGGCGTGAGTTTTAAGCCACCGGGTCCGGGATGCAAACAGCGGTCGACTACGTGGGAGTCCAGCGACACAGCCATTACGCTAACTGCTGGTTCCCGCTACTTTTTTTTCTTAGATTTTTGTCATAGGGCATGTGAGCTCCCCAGAAAGAGACAGAGAGATGGAAAGTAAGAAATCACTCCTGAGGGGGTGGCCATGCAGCAATCTCTTCTCCCCCATTCTCCTGTTGGGATTTTGGGCATGCACACACACATACCCAGTATGATTTTTAAGCCACAGGGTGTGGGACTTAAATCATAGTCAGCCATGTAGGATCCAGCACTTTAACCTCTACACCATCTCCTGGCCCAGAGATACTATTTCATAACAACTTTTTTATCAATCTAAGTTACCAGTTTGGTGAACATTTCAATATATACAAGAACTTCTGACCTAAAATGGATTTGGCCTACATGTAATTCATGGCATTCTTGCACCCTCTCAGGAACCTGTCACACACTCCTCAAAGGGATCTTCCCTAAAACAGCAGCAACAACTAAGAAGCCACAGGAAGCACTAGTCTCAGGAAGCACTTCTAATCTGAATGTATTATCTGTACTTCGCCTGTGTGACATTTGCTCATATTCATTTGCTCCTTTAGCAGCAAGCCCGAAACAGACTGAACACAATAGCTCTTTGCCAAACAACTGGGGTCCATTCACAATAGCTCCCAGTATAGACAAAACTTTTTTTTTTTTTTTTTTAATCTGCCAGAGGGCACATGTACTCGCCAGTGAGAAAGCACTCCTCCATGGGTGATAGGCCACAATCCCTTCTCTAGTTCTTCTTTTGGGATTTTGGCCACACAAGCACACACATCAGGTGTTTATCAAGCCACCTGGTCGTGGACTCAAATCATAGGGTAGGCCATGTAGGATCCAGTCACCTTAACTACCACACCACTAGCTAGCCCCAAATTGACTATTTACAACTACCTCAGAGACCACCAGACAATGTGATCAGGAAGAAAGAACATGGAAGAGTCCAGCTGATGATGTGATTGGAGGGGCTGGATGCCACATAAGTGACTGTGCAGTTCGGCTTCAGCCCTAGACTCAGAGGCTTGGGAGACCCACAGGGCATATGTGCTTTTATGCCGAAGGTGGTGGTGGTGAGTGGATTGCAGCATCATCATCCCCTATATGAAGGTGTCCTCACTTCCTCTCTTCCTCCCTGCCCCCCTCCTCTGGTGAATGCATGTATACTCTGGCAAAACCTAAAAAAAAAAAAAAAAAAAAAGGGAAGATGACAATTCAGCAGCAAACACCTATATTTCCAGAAGGCAGATGGCTATGTCACTGGACTCCCACGTAGTCGACCATGGTTCAAGTCCTGGACCTGCTGGCTTAAACTCATGCCAGGCACGTGTGCATGCATGCCCAAGATCCTGAGAGGAGAATGGAGAAGGGACTGTGGTGTGGCCATCCCCCCTGGGGGGTGATTTCTCGCTTTCTATCTCTCTGTCTCTCTCCATCTTTCTGGAGAGTGCACGTGCCTCCAAAAAAAAAAAAAAAAATTTGTGTACTCCTAAATAAATCTTGATTCTGTCCCCATTAGGGATCTTAAGAGCATTTTACGTTTTTCAAGAGCAGAGGTCATTTTCAATACTTTTCAAAGAGTTTTCCCATGCAGTAGTTCCTTAAATTTTCTAAACAGCCTTACGAAGTAGGCTAGCAAATTTGTCCCGTATTTACAAAGAAGAAATGAAACTTACTTGTGGTCAAATAATTGACCTGGTATCCCAAAACTAAACAGAAGTAGATGTGGGACCAGAATCTTTCTTTGGCAGATTCATGTATTCTTACTATAATAAACCACATTCTTTTTTTTAGAGTCATGTTTGCTATAGGACACGTACGCTCACCAGAAAAACAGAGACAGAGAGAGAGAAGGCAAGAAATCACCCCTCAGGGGATATGGCCATGCACGTACATGCACCTGGCTTGAGTGTTAAGCTGCCAGGTCTGGGACTCGAATCGTAGGAGACTCCATGGGAGTCCAGCAACGTTACTAATGACACCATCTGCTGGTCTCAACAAACCAAATTCTAAATAGGCTTAACATCCTCTACTCAGTCAGGGATCAAGTGAAAACAAATAGTTCATCCCTGTTTCTTTCACTAAAAAATTTAAATATTAGGGCTCCAAGTCAGTGGTTCACAAACACTTTCATCACGTAACAGTCCAGGAGAAACATATATGCAAAATAATAAAAAAACCTCTCCTTTGTTTCCACCTCCCCATATAACCTAAAATGTAGCTGAATTCCCTGTACTGCTATAGGAAGAGAAAGTGGTATCCATCTTTTTTAGCTCAATGGACAAGTGGTCAAGTTTTAATAAGAGATTACACTTGACCTTCAGCAAGGGCCGACTTCATGAGACAGCAGTGGTGTGCTCCTCAATAAAAGCTGGGTCTCACATGGCAACCACAGGTCAGTCCTCAACATGGCTGGCCTGGAACATACTAGACACACACGCAAATGCCCTGACAGACTGAAGGACTCCAGGAAGGGGCTCGCGGTGTGACCAGACTTGTGAAGGGTGCTCCTCTCTCTTTGTATCTCATGTGTACATGCACATGCTCTGTCATGAATAAAGGGGAAAAAAAGAACAGACAACACTGCCTACCACATACCAAGAACTAAGCAGTTTGGTTAAAACACAGTGTTATTCACACCACAAACATGCCATCTCCTTTATATACAAAACAGAAGAGCTATCATAAGTACATAGTCTGCATTTTTGAAGAATATGAAATACAAAGTATTGGTGCCCAGTAGTGTGGTGGTTAAGGTACTGGACTCCTACATAGATGACCATGCTTTGATCCCAGAGCTGGTGACCTGCTTTCTCACTTTCCCTCTCCCTTTCTGTCCCTCTCTGGTCAAATTTAAAAATAATAATAATAATAAATAAATAAATAAACAAACAGCTCCTTAAAAAATAAATAAATAAATAAATAAATAAATAAATAAATGAAATAAAAGCATTCTGGTGCCAGCGGTAGCACAGTGGTAAAACACAATACTCTGTCCAGGCTGACACACATGGGCAGGTCCTGAGTTCTTATTCAGAGAACTCCCTAAGTATGCCAACAATACACACGTCCATGATCTGGGCTGGCTGAGTTAGAAATGAATCGTCGTTGGGACCAGCAGTTAGCGTAATGGCTATGTCGCTGGACTCCCATGTAGTCGACCACGGTTCACGTCCCGGACCCGGTGGCTTGAAACTCACGCCGGGTGCGTGTGCGTGCGTGTCCAAGATCCTGAGAGGAGAATGGAGGAGAAGGGGTTGCGGTGTGGCCATCCCCCCTGGGGGGTAATTTCTCGCTTTCTGTCTCTGTCTCTGTCTGTCTGGCGAGCGCACGCGCCCTATAGCAAAAACCTCTAAAAAAAAAAAAAGAAATGAATCATCGTATCAAGACTATGTTGGGTGTGTAAACACTCATGAAAAGAATTTTATATATACACAAATATACATACATACACGCATAAAGCAAGGCTAAGGACAGATCATGGTGTCAAGACCATACTAGGTGTGTGTACACTCACATGTACACATATGCTTGGGAAGAAATAATCTCCTCCTCTCTCTCTCTCTTTCTCTCTCCACACACACACACACACACACACACACACACACACGAATATATACAAAGTTCTCCAGGAAATGAAAGAGGGGTTCTGTTCATATTTAGAAGCTAAATAAAGCTGAGGGTGCAGGGAACCGAGGCAACAGAGCATCTGGAATCTGGAAAAGAAGTCAGTCTGGGCAAAACAGGCAATGAAATGGAAGGGAATTAGCATTGGTGTAACAATTACATACAAGGAATTATGTCATGTGCTCTAAATACGACACCTCCCAGGCCAAGCACAGCAGTAATGACCCACACAGGAAAGGTCCTAGGTTCATGTCCTAAGAGCGTACCAGGCACACACATGTGCCCATCACCTAGCCCAGCTGAGACTGGGAGTGGACTCTGACAGCATGAAGACCCTGTTGAGGGTGCCTTTCTCTCTGTCTCTAAATAAAGCCTCCCCACCAAAATACACAAATGGGAAAAGCCTCTATACCATGATCAGAAAGACAACACACCTGTAACCGCTGAAACACTCCCGATCGTAAGTTTCCAAATCCATAGTGGCACTGCGGATTTAAAGAACTTCCTGATACCTCTGCATAGGGTGTCTGTTCAATTTCCCAATCGAATTCTTCATCATCATCATCTGGTACTTCTTCAGAAACCTCTGAAGCACCTAAATATATTAATTAATTTTTTTAAAAGTATTGGCCTCCCTAAGCACAACTAGGGGAAGGAAAAGCATAGAGGAAAAAATTCTGTACGTGTGCGCCAAAAGTGTAAGAACATTTATAGCTCCACTACTTGTGATAACTGTCCCCCCAAAAAGAACCCAGATGCCCAACAAGAGGAGGCATAAATAAATGCAGTCTATTCATACTTTGATATATTATATAGCAATCAAAACAAACGAATCTCAACTAGAATACAGATAAATTTCATAAAAACATTATGTAAAAGAATGAAGAACCTAGATTGTATGAATTATACATGCAATTCAAAACCAGGCAAAGCAGAGGAAGGCGGACAAAGTAACTGGGAAGTAATACAAGGAAAGATTTCAAGGCTGGGAAATGTTCCCTTCTTGACCTAGGTGACTGGTATTCACCTTTCGTAACCCATTGAACTATACACTTTTCTTTTTAAGGAATTATTTAACTTTGTTTATTATTATTATTACAATTTGTTATAGGGCACATACACTCACCAGAGAGAGATGGAGAGGAAAAGTGAGAAATCAAGTCACCGGGTCTGGAACTGGTGGTTAGCTGCGTGGGAGTCTTAACTACCAGGTCACCTGCTAGCCCCTGAACTGTATGCTTATAATCTTATCTCAGGAGGCTAATATTTTACCAAAGATGAATTGTTTCCATTGGTCCAAAAATGTGACAGATCTGCTGGTTCGATAGGGTTCTTTATGCCTTTTTTTTGACCAAATGAGTTTTCTTTTTCAAGAAAGTATTTATTTAATTGTATTTATCATTATTATTTTTTAAATTTGCTATAGGGCATGTGTGTTCACCAGAGAGGGATGAGAGAGAGAAAGTGAGAAAGCAAGCCACCATGTCTGGGACTAGAACTGTGGTCAACCATGTGGGAGTCCAGCACCTTAAACACCATGCCACCTGCTGGCCCCAAATAGGTTATTTTCATGTTTTCACATAATCGCCTTATCACCCAAAGTATTTTCTCCAATTTCTTATTCACTATATCCTGTTTCCCCGGGAAACATACAGCATTCCAGATAGCTCTATCCACCTTTATTTCCTTCAACTGCAACAAACATACCTATTTCTTCCACAAGTGGTTTTGCTGTCCTAGATTTTCTTGGTGCCAGAAGAGCAGTTAACATGTTCAGTCCTTCAAAATGCTGGCCAGGAGTTTCTTTAGGCAATCGAATGGTAAAAATTCCTTAAAGATAAATTTGTTTTATACTTAGATTAAAATATTTAAGAACATCACAAATATATATAAGAAATACATGTCTTGGTAAAATAATTCTACTTCACAGAACACCAAAATTACGCCATTCTAGATACAGTGATTACAAATCAAGACAGAAAAGGACTTAGGACCAGCAGGTGATGTGCTGGTTAATGATTCTCATGTGGCTTGAAAATCACGCTGGGCACATGTGCATGTGTGCCTAAAGTCCTGGGAGGAAAACAGAGGAAAAGGGCCATTCTCCGTGTGCGATGATTTCTCACTTTCCTTATCACTGTCTCTCTAGGGAATACATGTGCACTAAGGCAAAACCTTAAAAAAAAAAAAAAGAAAAAAGAAAAAGGCTCTACCAGGGTTTTTCAGAAGCTGTCACTTTTTTCTTTTTTAAAAGAACTGTTTTATTTTAACTTCATTTGCTTATTTTTTTTTTCCTTAGGCCAGAGAGGGACAGACAGAGAGAGAGAGAGAGACAGAGAGACAGACAGACAGAAAGGTGAGAAAGCAAGCTGTCAGGTCCAAGACTTGAACCGCAGTCAGCCACATGGGAGTCCAGTGCCCTTAACTACATGCTACCTGCCAGCCCCAGAAGCTGTCACTTCTATAAGAAACTAATTTGTTAAAACTACACAATTCTTGACTCTCACGCAATATCACCTTAAACTATTAATAATATTAAAATTCCAAGTCAAAATTTCTAAGAATCAATAGCCTAAGAAGGTAATAGCTCAGAAAACTAACAATAGTTATTTATAAAATTATGTTTCTGGGACCAGCAGGTGGCATAGCAGTTAAGGTACTGGACTTCTACATGACCGACTGCAGTTTGAGTCCCAGACCTGTCAGCTTTCTTTCTCTTTCTTTCTCTCTCTCTCTCTCTCTCTCTCTCTCTCTCTCATAAGTGCAGATGCCTGTGTTATATTTTAAAATAGTAATAAAAATTTTAAAAATAATAATAAATAAAACATGTTTCTGGACTGGGGGTGGGGACAATCCAATTCAATGAAAAATAGCAGTGTGTTTTAAAATTTCAAATTAAAATAAAGTTAAATAAAATAATTCTTTAAAGAAAGGAAGACACAAAATTTTACAGTTTCTTTGGTATCTCAAGAGATATATCCCTGAAGTCTGTCTATGAAAGACTCAAATTCTATGTACTCTTTTTCTTTCCTTGCCTGGTTTTATCAGCCACACTGAAGCTCCCCCGTGAACTTACTGCATTACTCACTATTCTAACATTTTAAAACATTTACCTCTTTCAGTGTACTAAACTATACTCCAATATATCAACTACACTCAATCTGAATAGCAAAATCTTCCTAATCATGGGGCCATCAGGTAACACGGTGGTTAAGGTACTGGATCTCACATGGTGACACCATGGTTTGAGTCCCAGAACTGGTGGCTTGAAAATCATACCAGGTGCCTGTGCATGTGTGTCCAAAATCCTTAGGATAATGGGGGAGAAGGGACTGTGGCTGTGGCCATCCCCTTGGGAAGGATTTCTCATTTTCTGTCTCTGTCTCTGTCTCTCTGGGAGCACACACGCCCTATGGCAAAAATCTAAAAGAAAAAAAAAAAGAAATTTCTAATTCTCTGTACTTGTAAAATTTAATAACTTGGTCTCAATAGGCCATCTATCTGCAATTAAAAGCAGATTTACTACCTGGGAAGGTAGTTTTTTTCCTTCTTTTTTCAAAATTTGCTATAGGGAACGTGTACTCACTGGAGAGACAGAGAGAGGAAAACTGAAAAAGCACGGACCTCAGGGGAGATGGCCATGTTGCAATCCCTTCTCCGTTTCTCCTTCTGGGACTTTGGACACGCATACACACACACTTGACATGTTTTCCAAGTCAGTGGGTCTAGGATTTGAATTCCACAATCACCCATGTGGGATCTAGCCACCTTAACTGCCATACTACCAGCTGGTCCAAGGCAGTTTTATCATATTTCATTATCACATTAATTACATTGCCTTATGGGTCAAAGCTTTGCCACTTATACTCTGGCTTTTGTTTTGTGTTTCTTTTTCATTTACCAGAGGGTGGGTACACTTGCAGCAGGGAGGGATGGGGAAAGTGAGAAGGCATCCCCCATGGGTCAGAGTCACACTGTAATTCTTCTTCCTCCATGCCTCTCTCCTTTTGGGATTTTGGACACATATGAACAGGGCATCCAGCATGTTTCTCAAGCCACCAGATCTGGGACTCAAACCACTCAGTCAGTCACCTTAACCACCAGGCCACAGGCTGGGAATTTATACTCTGTTATCCAACTCTCCTTCCCTCCCTGCAATCTAGGTTCAGTGAAGTCAATAAATTTTCATTGAATAAAATACACAGTACTACACAAAGCATTATTATTCCAGATCCAGTGAAAAATAAAAAATGATTTCTTAAAAGTAAAATAGATGATGGAACCAGCAGGTGGCTTGTAGTTAAGGTACTGGGCTTCTTACGTGGTTGACTGCGGTTTGAGTCCCAGACCTGAAGTCTTAAAAATCACAGCAGGCACGTGTGAGTGCATCCTGAGGACAGAGGAGAGAGGACTGCAGTGTGGCCATCCCTGAGGGGTGATGTCTTACTTTCCCTCTCACTGTCTCCATCTCTCTCACTCTCTCTGTGAGCACACATGCCCTATGGCAAAAAATAAAAAAAGGAAAATAAATGGTTTCAGGGCTAGCTGAAATGAAGGGCTTATTAATCATGAGATGAAAATTCAATTAGCCTTTAAATGCCACCTATGAGTGGTATGTCTCTTACCTATTATTAAAATTCAAGTTCAAAAATTGTACAAGAATGATTCCACTCAAAAGCTTATAAATTATCCACATCTTTTATAATCCACTGTCTCATCTGTTCTACTTTTTACTTTTAAATACCTACTAAATGTAGGGGAAGCATTTCTAGAAAGTGGAATGAAAGTGTTTAACTAATTTGACTTTATTTTTTTAGGGTTTTTGTTTATTTTATTGTTTTCTGCTACAGGGCACATGCACTCTCCAGAAAGAGAGAGAGAAAGCAAGAAATGAGGGGCTTATCAGTCATGAGATGAAAATTCAATTAGCCTTTAAATACCACCTATGAGTGGTATGTCTCTTACCTATTATTAAAATTCAAGTTCAAAAATTGTATATCCTAGAAGGGATGGCCATGTCATACCACCTATGAGTGGTATGTCTCTTACCTATTATTAAAATTCAAGTTCAAAAATTGTATATCCTAGGGAACCAGCAGTTAGCGTAATGGCTATGTCACTGGACTCCCACGTAGTCGACTGCGGTTCGTGTCCCGGACCCGGTGGCTTAAAATTCATGCTGGGTACGTGTGCGTGCGTGCCCAAGATCCCGAGAGGAGAATGGAGGAGAGGGGATTGCGGCGTGACCATCCTCCGTGGGGGGTGATTTCTCGCTTTCTGTCTCTATGTCTCTCTCTGTCTGTCTGGTGAGCGCACGCGCCCTACAGTGAAAATCTCTCCAAAAAAAAAAAAAAAATTTGTATATCCTAGAAGGGATGGCCATGTCATACCACCTATGAGTGGTATGTCTCTTACCTATTATTAAAATTCAAGTTCAAAAATTGTATATCCTAGAAGGGATGGCCATGTCATAATTCCTTCTCCCCCATTCTCCTCTCAGGATTTTGGAAATACACACACACACACACACACACACACACACACACATGTGCCTGGTGTGATTTAAGCCACTGGGTCCAGGACTCGAACAGTGAAGTCGGCCATATGGGATCCAACCATCTTAACCTCTATACCACCTGCTGACCCTGACTTAACTTCATCTTGAAAAATATTGTGAAATACTTTAATAAATTGATGTAACAGCCAAAAAATCCACAAACAGGCACTGGACGTTAAGAAAGAAATGTTACAAGAACAGGGTGCACTTAAAAGACATGTGAAGGTCCTCATGGTATCATGGAAGATGATGATATGCATATTCTTACATGAAGAATCTGGGGTAGGGGGGAAGGTCCAATACCTTTATCTGCATCATAGGTTCCTTGCTCATTTCCATTTTCTACAATTCTTCCAGGAAGGGTTAATCTGCAGATTTAACACAAGGTCTCATGAAGTCCTTAATCTATAATGTAATGTAATGACTACCAATAATAGTACAGTTAGCCATCAACATTTATCAACCATTTTAAAAGAAAATTCCTCAGATTTTCTTTCACGTTTTACAAAGAAAGCAGAAATGAGAGACAACTTATCTTTGTATCTGAATACCCCCAATCACTAGCACAATAGATACTAAAAGAGAAAAGCTACAATCAATATTAATTATCACTATTGCTATAGTACTTCTCCCTTAATAAATAAGAGTTATTTATAGACCTGGCACCTAACACAGCAGGTGCTCAATAAACACATATTAACTGGCTCAAAAAAAAAAAAAAGAAAAGAAAAGAAAAAAAGCCCCAAAATAGGAAACAATTAACAACAAAACCAACTGCTTATATGAGGCAATTTATACTTAAAAAAAAAAAAAATTAAACCAAAAAGCTAAAGTGTTTTCCTCAAATCTCATTACTACTAAATGGAGATTTTCCTGTTTCATACTAAAGGAAATTAACTTATTTATTTATTTATTTATTTATTTCTGGGAGAGGTTTTTGCTATAGGGCACGTACACCCGCCAGAAAGACAGAGAGACAGAAAGCGAGAAATCACCCCCCAGGGAGGATAGCCACGCTGCAGTCCCTTCTCCATTCTCCTCATGGGATCTTGGGCATGCACCCACCCGTGCCTGGTGTGAGTTTAAGCCACCGGGTCCGGGACTTGGACCGCAGTCGACTACGTAGGAGTCCAGCAACATAGCCATTGTGCCAACAGCTGGTCCCGAAATGAACTGATTTCTCTGCTTCTAGCTCTACCCTGTCAGTTTCCCAGTGAGGCCTGAAAAGGATTTTCTTTTTAAAAATTTTGCTTGAGGGCACATGCATTTGCCAGAGAGAGAAAGTAAGAAAGCATCCCCCAGGGAGAACAGCTACAATCCCTTCTCTTCCATTCTCCTCTAGGGATTTTGGGCACGCACATGCACCCATGTCCGCACATTCAGAGTGTTTTTCAAGTCACCAATTCTGGGACTCCATTCACACAGTCAGCCATGTGGGATCCAGTCACCTTAACCACCACGCCACTGGCTGCCCGTTAGTATCCTCATTTTCCAGAAGAGAAAACAGATTCAGAGAGGTTTGGTGACATGGCTTGGATTGCACACCTAGTAAGAGACAAAGCTGGGACCCAAACCTACATCTGTCTGTTTCTTTTTCTTGTTTTTCTTTTTTAAATTTTTCCAGAGGGCACTTGTGCTTGCCAGAAAGAGATGGAGGGGGAAAGTGAGAAAGTGCTCTCCCCATGGGGGATGGTCATGCTGGATTCCCTTCTCCATTTTTCCTTTTGGGACTTTGGGCACAAACACAAGTCAACCAAGTTTTTCAGCACCAGGCAGCCACCTTAACCAGCATGCAACTGGCTAGCCTGAATTTTCCAATAACAGAAATTTGATGATCACTTTCCCATTTAAAAAATCTTCTATAGCTGCCTGGTATTGACTAGGTAATTTAAACTCATCAGTACAGCATATCAAGCAACTTCACACCATTTCCAACATAATATTTGAGCCTCCTGGGACCAGCAGATGGTGTAATGGTTACATCCCTGGGCTCCCATGGAGTCAGCCACCACCTAAGTTCTGGACCCGGTGGCTTAAAACTCATGCTGGGCACATGTGCATGCATGCCCCAAATCCCAAAAGCAGAATGGAGAAAAATGGATTGTGGCAGGGCCATCCTCTCTGAGGGGTGATTTTTCACTTTCTCTCTCTGGTGAGTGCACATGTCCCATAGCAAAAATCCTCTACAAAAAATAAAATAAAATTTGAGCCTCTTTTCTTATCCTCCTCTCCCTTGTTTCCTACTAAATAAAATACAAAAAACCTGGCTCAGCCTGGTGGCACAATTGGTAGCAAACTGAACTGCAGTGCTGGAAGCCACATGGCCAATCACAGGTCTGGAGGTGCAGGTCAGCCTGAAAATGCACACTCAAGATCCTGACAAGTTGGATAGGCTAGGAAAGTGATCATATCCTGGCCTGACAGAACCCTGTAAAGCTGCTTCTCTCTCTCTCTCTTTTGTGCATGGAGGCATTATCATGAATAAAATACATGAACTTAAAAAAAAAATTGATAGGGACCAGACAGTGGTGTAGCAGCAACACAAATGGACCAATATGGGAATGTCCCTGGTTCACAACCCTGGGTCTTCATCTAAACATCAGTTACCTGCATGCATGCCTTTGATCTGGGTTGGTTGGAACTGGGGTGGAATCGTGGTATGAGGACCCTACCCAGTTGGGGATGCCCCCACCTCCCTAATCTCTTTTTCTCACTGAATAAAAAGCTAAAAAAAGAAAAAGAATAAAAAAACTTCTGCAGACCCCAAACAGTCTAGGACTTCACAAGTCAGTTGTCTCAGAGTCCAACACTTCCTTAAGCTATCATGTATTTTTCACAGCCAAGATCCCTTCTAAACCCAAAATAAGGAGTCAGTTTACAGATAAATTAGTTTGTTATATGAAGTTACAAACACTAACTTTAGTGCCAGAATCGGAGTCCCAGCTCTGCCATTTACCAGCTGTGTCTTTCTTTGGGCAAAACAAGTTAATTAACTTCAAGAATCAAAATACCTCATCTGTAAGAAGGAGGAAATAATGGTACCACCTTACAGTCAGTGTGAGAATGCACGGTAATGCAGAGCTTAGCAGAGTTCAGTCTGGCACAGTAGACGCATGTTCAATGTAAGCTCTTATTACAAACTCTCTCTTCCTGAAGTCTTTATAGGTATAGAGCTAAATTATTCCTGAATTAGAGTAAAGCTCTAATTGTTTATCAATCTGTTTCTTAGCTAGACTCCGAATTCCTTAAGGAGAGGGACAAAGCTTTAGTCATCTTTACTATATTGTAAGAAACTGTATTTCCTGGGAACCAGCAGTTAGCGTAATGGCTATGTCGCTGGACTCCCACGTAGTCGACCGCGGTTCGCGTCTCGGACCCGGTGGCTTAAATCTCACGCCGGGCGCGTGTGCGTGCGTGCCCAAGATCCCAAGAGGAGAAAGGAGGAGAATGGAGGAGAAGGGATTGCGGCGTGACCATCCCCCCTGGGGGGTGATTTCTCACTTTCTGTCTCTATGTCTCTCTCTGTCTGTCTGGCGAGCGCACGCGCCCTATAGCGAAAACCTCTCCAAAAAAAAAAAAAAAAAGAAAGAAACTGTATTTCCCAAGATAGCCCATCTCCCACCATTCCTCCAAAACATGAGGTCTACAACCCTTACTCCTTACGATTCAGCAGGTTCCATGTGGCCTGGTGGTTAAGGGAACCAGACTCCACATAGCTGACCATGCAGTTCAAATCTTGGTCCCTATGGATGGCTTGAAAAACATTCCAGGTACATGTATGTGCGCCCAAATTCTCAACAGGATAGAGAAATGGAGAAAACACTGTAATGTGACCACATCCCATTGGGGGATGCTTTCTTTCTTTTCCTCTTCTCTCAGTCTCTCTCTGGCAAGTACACATGCCCTCTAGAAAATTTTTAAAAAAAGTTTCGAGAACTGTTTTGACCAATACAAGTGACATTAGGTGCTTTCTGACCTTAGGCCATACAAGGTGATACAAATGCTGCACTGCTTGCCAGAACACTTGCTCTTGAAAACTTCAGCCTCTATGTTAGTTCAACTCCACCAACTAGACTAGATCAAGTAGGGGGGCCCTGAGACTAAATAAAAAAAGATGTCATGGCAGCCTCCAGCTGCTTCAGCCCTTACTGTCCTATATTCTAGGTCTAGCCACTATCTGATCACAACAGCATTGAAGACTTCAACCCAGAACAGCCAGACAAGCCCTTACCAAACTCATTACCCATAAAAACGAGGGCACATAATAAAATGATTGTTGTTTTACATCATTAAGTGTGAATGGTTATCCAGCAATGGATAACTGGCACAGTGGGACCTCAATAAATAACCGTATCTACTATTTATTGAACATATTACTAGGCATGGTAATAAGCATTTTGCACATCATCATCTCAGTCCTCACACTGGCTTTCTAAGAACACTAGTATTAGTCCCATTCTACAGATTACAAAACTGAAATTGAGTAAGTTACCCAAAGTTACAGAACTGTGAGTGTGATGAGTGACCAACTCCCACGCTTCTGCTACCCAAGGAATGGATAGATAGGTTTGAAGACTATGCTTCCAATTACTGCACATTCCTTACTATGTCTTCACCAACTCAGACTTAAGCAAAGTCCTTTTTACTTTTAAATTTATCTTACTGAATTTATTTTATAATAAATCGAATTTATTTTATAATTTATTTTATAGTTTTACTTTATAGTAAGAAGGAAAATATTCTACAAGACACCAAAGACTACACTTAAGAATTTCTCTCAGTCTGTGATCTCTTATTTGTAACACAGGAGTCTTAGTCCGTGTGAGCTGGTATAACAGACTGGGCGGCTTAAACATTTCTCTCCTAGTTCTGGAGGCTGGGGAGTTCAAGATCAAGGTGTTGGCAGATTCAGCCTCAGGTGAGGGTCCTTTTCCCGGTTTGCAGACAGCTATCCTCTTGCTGTATTCTCACTCGGTAAAGAGGAGATCCTATTCTCTTGTAACACAGGAGTCTTAGTCCGTGTGAGCTGGTATAACAGACTGGGCGGCTTAAACATTTCTCTCCTAGTTCTGGAGGCTGGGGAGTTCAAGATCAAGGTGTTGGCAGATTCAGCCTCAGGTGAGGGTCCTTTTCCCGGTTTGCAGACAGCTATCCTCTTGCTGTATTCTCACTCGGTAAAGAGGAGATCCTTTTCTCCTTATAAGAGCACTAATCCCATCATGGGGGCTCCATGTCTTGATCTCATTTAAAACTAATCCCTAAGGCATCACCTCCAAATAGCATCGTATTGGCAACTGGATATTCAAAATACAATTTTGTTGGGAAATACAAATATTCAGTTCACAGCAATAGGTAAATAAAGCCCTGGGGCCCAGACAGAAGTGCAGAGGCAAAACGTGATGCTCTGCAAGGCAAGCCCATATGGGAAGGTTGCCAGTTCAGTCTCCCTGAGTATGCCCAAGTGCCCATGATCCAGGTTCACAGAGGTAGGAGTAGACTGCAGTGTCAATACCGTCAGGGGCCGGCAGGTGGCATGGTGGTTAAGGGTGCTAGATTCCCACATGGGCAACCGTGGTTTGAGTCTCGAACCTGGCCGCTTGCCTTCTCACTTTCCCTTTCTCTCTCTCTCTCTGGTCAAATTTTTTAAAAAATAATATTAACAAATGGAATAAACTAAATAAATAATTCAAAAAAAAAAAAACACCCTGTCAGTGTCAGAGGTTTATGTCTCTGTCTCTCCATCTCTTACTCATGGAATAAACTTTGAAAAATTATGAAAACAATAATAAAAGACTACTTTGTACGGTTACCCTAAAATCAAATGAGACAATCTACATCAAGTGCAAGTGCCCCATAGCACATTAAAAAGTAATAAGAAAAAAAAAAAAAGTAATAAGAAAATAATAAAAATTTTTAAAAATTAAAAAATGAGACAATCTCAACTAGACTAGATCAAGTAGGGGGGCCCTGAGACTAAATAAAAAAAGATGTCATGGCAGCCTCCAGCTGCTTCAGCCCTTACTGTCCTATATTCTAGGTCTAGCCACTATCTGATCACAACAGCATTGAAGACTTCAACCCAGAACAGCCAGACAAGCCCTTACCAAACTCATTACCCATAAAAACGAGGGCACATAATAAAATGATTGTTGTTTTACATCATTAAGTGTGAATGGTTATCCAGCAATGGATAACTGGCACAGTGGGACCTCAATAAATAACCGTATCTACTATTTATTGAACATATTACTAGGCATGGTAATAAGCATTTTGCACATCATCATCTCAGTCCTCACACTGGCTTTCTAAGAACACTAGTATTAGTCCCATTCTACAGATTACAAAACTGAAATTGAGTAAGTTACCCAAAGTTACAGAACTGTGAGTGTGATGAGTGACCAACTCCCACGCTTCTGCTACCCAAGGAATGGATAGATAGGTTTGAAGACTATGCTTCCAATTACTGCACATTCCTTACTATGTCTTCACCAACTCAGACTTAAGCAAAGTCCTTTTTACTTTTAAATTTATCTTACTGAATTTATTTTATAATAAATCGAATTTATTTTATAATTTATTTTATAGTTTTACTTTATAGTAAGAAGGAAAATATTCTACAAGACACCAAAGACTACACTTAAGAATTTCTCTCAGTCTGTGATCTCTTATTTGTAACACAGGAGTCTTAGTCCGTGTGAGCTGGTATAACAGACTGGGCGGCTTAAACATTTCTCTCCTAGTTCTGGAGGCTGGGGAGTTCAAGATCAAGGTGTTGGCAGATTCAGCCTCAGGTGAGGGTCCTTTTCCCGGTTTGCAGACAGCTATCCTCTTGCTGTATTCTCACTCGGTAAAGAGGAGATCCTATTCTCCTCCTTATAAGAGCACTAATCCCATCATGGGGGCTCCATGTCTTGATCTCATTTAAAACTAATCCCTAAGGCATCACCTCCAAATAGCATCGTATTGGCAACTGGATATTCAAAATACAATTTTGTTGGGAAATACAAATATTCAGTTCACAGCAATAGGTAAATAAAGCCCTGGGGCCCAGACAGAAGTGCAGAGGCAAAACGTGATGCTCTGCAAGGCAAGCCCATATGGGAAGGTTGCCAGTTCAGTCTCCCTGAGTACGCCCAAGTGCCCATGATCCAGGTTCACAGAGGTAGGAGTAGACTGCAGTGTCAATACCGTCAGGGGCCGGCAGGTGGCATGGTGGTTAAGGGTGCTAGATTCCCACATGGGCAACCGTGGTTTGAGTCTCGAACCTGGCCGCTTGCCTTCTCACTTTCCCTTTCTCTCTCTCTCTCTGGTCAAATTTTTTAAAAAATAATATTAACAAATGGAATAAACTAAATAAATAATTCAAAAAAAAAAAAACACCCTGTCAGTGTCAGAGGTTTATGTCTCTGTCTCTCCATCTCTTACTCATGGAATAAACTTTGAAAAATTATGAAAACAATAATAAAAGACTACTTTGTACGGTTACCCTAAAATCAAATGAGACAATCTACATCAAGTGCAAGTGCCCCATAGCACATTAAAAAGTAATAAGAAAAAAAAAAAAAAGTAATAAGAAAATAATAAAAATTTTTAAAAATTAAAAAATGAGACAATCTACATAAAACACCAGCCTGGAATAAAAATTCCAACAGAAATATTCCCATCACTACCTTCTTCCTACTCTTCTCATCTTGGTTTAAATATCCCTTCCTCATAAAGCCTATCTCTGACCACTTTATATAAATATGGGCCCCTTTTAATTCTCTACGTGTGCACTTCTTTCTCTTCATAACATTTACCACTATTTGTAGTTACAGTTCTAGTTCACTGTTTTTCTTCTCCCCACTAGACACGATATGAGGGCTGGAGTATGTCTCATTCGGCCCTATCATCTCAACATTAAAGCCCAATAATTAAAGAAAGAATAAATAAACAGAAAAGTGCACTATATTCAAGTAGGTAGGTTAAGTTAGAGTTTAATGAAAATGTGAGCAGACGTGGTTCAGGCACAGTGAAGGATCCAATCTGAATGGAAGAGAAGGTTGGTATTACAAAAGTACTTTGGCAGAAAAGGTAGGATGGAGCTACAATGGAGAGAGATGATAAGAATGGGTTTTACCTAGCCCATGACGGGAGAATAAGGGATTGGTGATGTTTTAGAAATAATCGGGCAGTGTCTCCTGCAGAACGGGGCCAAGAGTAGTGCCTATCTCCAACTCTGTCAAAAATATCTAGGATAACTGCAGAGAGCACTTAATGGGCTCTGCTTGCCCACCAGTGAAGGCGGTCAGTGTTGGCTGCCACTGATCTCCTTATGGTTCGGCAAGAAGGAAACTGTCACAGGCAGGGGCGGATAGCCCCTAACAGAGCGCTTGGGGGAAACCACCACAACTAGGGACAAATCCAGCGAGGTAACAGCAGAGAGAAAGAAGTCATATTAATTTGGTGTCACGGGGCCCAAAGAAGGCAAAAACGTCAAGAAACGGAGAGCATGGACTAGGAAAAGTCTAAAGAAGCAATCGGCTGGGTGTCATCCTGATGCCAGGGCACGCCAGTCCCGGGCAGTGGAGAAGCTAAGGGGGAGAACGCAGGAGCAAAGAACGAATGAGGAAGGGACAAATACGAGAGCGAAAGGACAAAAACTGCAATAGTGACCCACGGTCCAAGCATCATATGGGAAAGTGGCTCCGAAGTCTCCTCCCTGTGAGGATTTAAGCAGGTTTAAGATGGGCACAGGCTGTGGCAGCATCTCGGGGCAAGGCGTCCGTTAAGTCGAGAACGGCTCCCTCGCTCTTTCACCCTCGTTCAAAAACAAAAAATAAAAAAGACCGTATGGTTCCTTCCATACGCAGGTATCTACAATAGTAGACGAATCCCCCCTGCGCGCTCTTCCTAGGGCAGACACGCGAGCTCGCCTGAGAAAGTAGGGCTTGGCGTAGAACTTGAAGTCGAACCCCTCAAAGTACACGTCGAACTCGGAGACCCGGGCGTAGGGCACGCGGATGGCGACGGTCAGGAAGTCGGGGTCCTGGCTGAGGTCGAACGCAGGGGTCAACATCGCCGCGCAGGACGCAGCTGTGGGAGCCGGCGACTCTCGCGGACACAAGCTCCGGCCGCTCAAGCTCTCCAAGCTGTCCCCACGCGCTGGGACGTGCTTCCGGCTCGGGGCGGAAGTGCTGGCGCGTGAGGCAGGAAGTCCCGCCCCACGTCGAGCTCCATGGAGATGAGGCGCTGCTAAGGAAGAGATGGAACTTTTAAAACGACCGCCAAGAGAAAGGGCGTGGACTTGGGCGCAGGCGTTGGAACGAGAGGAAGCCTTAGAAGACTCGGGTAAGAGTGTGTCTTAGATCTGCCAATCCTCTTTCGAGGTTTTTAGTGATCGTTTTAACACATAGGACTTGCAAGTGGACAAGACGTGCGTTTGAATCCCGCCTCAGCCAGTTTCCAGCTGTAAAACGTGACGAAAGTTACAAACCTCTTTATTCTTCAGATGGCTTATCTATAAAGTGAGACTAACACTGGAATCCAGCCCTGCAGAGGTACGCTGTGAGGATAACGTGACATCATGCATGTAGCGCTCTAATAACGTACCTGGCAAGTTGTCAGCGCTCGGTGTGGTGCGGCCCACACCGCGGAGGCCGCAGCAGCATCGTTACTGTGGTTTTCCGCTGTTCCCATCTGCCTCGTCGACCACTGTTCTCTACCCGCCCCCCACCACCGTCTCTTTCCCACTTTTCTCTTTGCATTTCTCTCTCTCTCTCTTTTTGCAGTTTTCTCACCCCCCTCCTAATCCTATATTAGCATAGTTTTCCCATTCATAGAGCGTTCATCCCACTAATCTCATCGAATCTGCACTACAAACTTCAAAGAAAATGGCTCAAACAAGATAAGCAATATGTCTTACTATTATGTATTTTACAATGATCAGAACCCAGAATGTTGGGCTCTTAAACTGTCAGTGTCTCCATTGACAAATTGTGGTCCCTCTGTATTTTCTCCTTTCCTTTTTCTGTTTTTTTCTCCCCCTTGTCAAAGACCATCCTTTCTGTCTTTTTTTCTTTTTTAAAGAATTATTTAATTTAACTTTATTTATTATTATTATTACTTTAATATTTCCAGAGAGAGAGAAAGTGTGAAACCAAACCTCCAGGTCTGGGACTTGAACCGTGATCAGTCATGTGGGAATCCAGTGCCCTTAACCATTACACCACCTGCCGACCGTCTTTCTTTTTCTTTATTTCTCTTATGTGTACTCTCCCAATGCCTCTCCCACTAGACTCCATGGGGACAGACTCCTTTCCTTCCCTCTTGCTTTTCATCCTGCTTTTCCCCCAGTAACTGAAATAGTCTAATTGTGGTATTTCTTTCATTTTTTTAATATCAGTGAAAAAGAGGTAAAAGTCATCTCTAGGATGGAAGAGATACACAGATAACTTTAAATGCCATTCACCTCTGATTTTTTTAATAATTCTAAGGAAACAATCTTGAAACTTAATTAGGACTCAAAAAAAGTAACAGGAACTAACATTAATTGCATACTACTATGTGCAATCAGTGAAAAGGGAAAAAAAAAAAAAAAAAAAACCTTAATGTTCTCATTTCCCTTTCCGACAGCATTGCGAAGTAGACATAATAAATCCTCTTGGCTTACCATAAGGTCACATAGATCATAAGTAATATTATACAGTGGGAATTGAAACCCAAATGAGTCCAGTTCTTGGACCTAGGTTCTAAACTTCTACAAAATTAACTCCAGTATTACCACCTACCCCCAGTTTTTTTTCACATGCTGAAGCCAAGCCTTTCCTGAGCCTTACAAATAATGGACACTCGCTGTTGTCAACACCTAGAATTAGAAAGGCCCTTTAAAATGTCCCTTGAGATAGGCCTTTGTCTAAATTCTTCCAAATTAGCTTGTCTAGAAAGTATCTTCGTGTCTTCAATGGGGCCTCATTTCTGTAGATCATGACATTTTTAAATTATTAATGCTAGAGAATTAACTAAAGCTATAGCTGTGCTAGCCACGAGGAAACTAATTGAAACTATTTACAAACTAGAGCTATGAATTTCCTGGGTACTTCATTATATGTTTGACAACAGACACACACAAAATTGCAACATAGAAAAACAGACTATATGGTTCAGTGCTACTGTTATTTATAAGAAATATATATCCCATCTGTTGTATCACACAATACTAATAGTTGCAACTATGTAATAGAGATTTGCTATGGAGGAGATTTGTTTGCTTCTGTGTTTTCACAAGTAACAGATTTTGTGTGTGTGTGTGTTTCTAATTAGTGGTAAATTATAGAAGTTGTAAATTCATCCTCCTTTAAAGAACATAAAGTTTCCTTTCATTGTCATCCATCTTTTTTTTCTTCTGCTTCACCAGAGGTAGTCCTAGCTATCCTTGTAGGCCTTTTTATGTTACTTTTTTTTTTTTTTGTCAGAAAGTTACCAGAGAGAGGAAGGAGTATGAAAAAGCATCCTCTTCATGGGAAATGTTCACACACATTCCATTCTCTATCTCTCCCTCTTTTTTTTTTTTTTTTGGAGAGGTTTTTGCTATACTGCATGTGCGCTCACCAGATAGACAGAGAGACAGAAAGCGAGAAATCCCCCCCCCCCGGGGGGCGGGGATGGCCATGCCGCAATCCCTTCTCCTCCATTCTCCTCTCGGGATCTTGGGCACGCACGCACACGCACCCGGCTTGAGTTTTAAGCCACCGGGTCCGGGATGCGAACTGCGGTTGACTATGTTGGAGTCCAGCGACATAGCCATTATGCTAACTGGTCCCCCCATCTCTCCCTCCTTTAGGGATTTTGGATGCGCATGTTTCTCAAGCCACTGGTCTGGACCTTGAGCCGCCTCGTCAGCCCTGTAGGACCTGGTTGCCTTAAGCATCACATCAAGAAGCTAGCCCAGGCCTTTTTACATTTCTACATACAATTCTATGTACTCTGTTAGTTTGTGTTTAGACCTACTTTGTGTGGGTGCATCATCACACTATAAGTACAATTATGCAACTTTTTTTTTTTTTTTTTTGGCTAGAAGACATATACACTTGCCAGAAAGAGGTAGAAAAGAGAAAGCACCCCCCATGAGAAATAGATATGCCACAATCCCTTCTCCTCTGTTTCTCCTTTCAAGATTTTGGACATGTAGGCACACACAGGCCCAACTTGTTTCTCAAGCCGCCTGGTCCTGGACCGAACCACACAATCTGCCACATGGAGTGCAGCTGCCATAACCATCAGGCCACAGAGCTGGCCTCAACATGCTATTCTTTATTCAACTTTGGTTTGCTTTAGAGACATCTCCACACTGATTCATAGATCCAGTGGAGTTCCTATTTCTAGTTATAACATCTTGAGAATAAAGATGTCCTTCCAACAATTCATGTTAACTGTGTATTGGAGGGAGAAAACAGGCATACACTTTTTCATCATTTTTTGAGTCTTTCAAAGGTTCTAATGTTTTGTTTGTTTGTTTTTGTTTTGTTTTTTTGCCATTCTCTTAAGGCTTACCTTTGGATGAACTTTCCATTTTTTGTTTTGTTTTGATTTTTGTTTTTGCCATAGGGCATGTATGCTCAATAGAGAGACAGAAAGAGAAATCACCCCCAGGAGGGATGGCAATCCCCATTCCCCTTAGGGATTTTGGGCATATATGCACACACACATGCCCAGCATGATTTTCAAGCCATCAGGTCCGGGACTTAAATTACAGTTGACAATGTGGGAGTCCACCACCTTAACTACCATGCCACTTGCTGGCCTCAACCTTTCAGTTTTTTGTTTTTTGTTTTTTGGCTTTTTTTAAGAGAGATTTTTACTATAGGACATATGTACTTGCTGGAGAGGCAGAGAGACAGAAAGCAAGAAATCATCTCCCAGGAGAGATGGCCATGCTGCAATGTCGTTTCCTCCATTCTCCTCTCAAGATCTTGGGCACATACAGACATACACCCAGCGTGGGTTTTAAGCCAGTGGGTCTGGAACTCGAAACACAGCCAACTATGTGGGAGTTCAGCGACGTAAACATTTCACTTTTTTTTGGGGGGGGTAAGAGGTTTTCGTTATAGGGCGTGTGCGCTCGCCAGACAGACAGACAGAGAGAGACAGAGAGACAGAAAGTGAGAAATCACCCCCCAGGGGGGATGGTCGCACTGCAATCCCTTCTCCTCCATTCTCCTCTCGGAATCTTGGGCACGCACACACATGCGCCTGGCGAGAGTTTTAAGCCACCCGGTCCAGGACGCAAACCGCGGTCGACTACGTGGGAGTCCAGCAACATAGCCATTACACTAACTGCTGGTTCCCAACATTTCACATTTTAATAGTAGTTTTTTTTTTTTCCTTGACCAACTTATTAAAGACAGTTATATAACTCATCGATTACATTAAATTAGTCCCTCTTCTGGTCTAACAAGCCTGATTGTGATCCCTAAGTTTCAAAATTAAATGTTAGGCCTGGCCTGGTGGCACAGTCAGTGATAAACTGAACTGTAGTGCTGGAAGCCAGATAGCTAGCTGCGGGTTCTGATTCCTGGGTCAGCTTGAAAGCACTCCAAGTGTGTGCACTCATGCTCAAGATCCTCACATGGCTGCAGAACTGAGGAAAGAAGCTCTCAGGGTGGGGAGTCTCTCTCTGTCCTGCACATACTCTCTATCATAAAAAAAATTTTAAAAATAAATAAAAAACTGAAAAAAACTAAATGTTGAATTGAAAAATAATTTCTATAAACAATTCCAATTTGTTTTAGTACACAGTTCTACTGTTAGAAGTCTTTCGATGGTGAAATACTCTTTGTTTCCAGAAGGTGGCATGCATATAGGTGATTAAGACTGTTATCTCAAAGACCAGAGTTTTAACCTAGGTTAGAAGACAGCTTCCTGGA